TCTCTCTCTCTCTCTCTCTCTCTCTCTCTCTCTCTCTCTCTCTCTCTCTCTCTCTCTCTCTGTGTGTGTCCAGTAGTAACCTGTGAAGTTGGTGCCTTGATGCAGGTACCTCGCAGATGGAGCTGGAGCGATGGCGCCACAGGTAAGTACAACTGGCCTCCGCCAGTATCTCTCCCAACTCTACTATGTACCACCTACCAGCGCCCAGCGCTGAAGACTACTCTATGGCTATGGGCGCCCAGCGCCGAAGACTACCACTAACGCTGAAGGCTACTGCCTAGCGCTGAAGACTACTGCAGCGCTCCTCCTGAGTGATGCGGCCGAATCCTGAAGACTACCCGTGCCTACTGACAACTACCTTCCGTGAAGTGCATGGGAACTTCCTATGTACTACCGGGTGTGCCTCCTGACTCGTGCGAGCAGTCCAGGAGGGTGCTCTTGCCAATGCCGAAGGGAGGCAGGGGCTGCAGCTGCAGCTCCTGCTCAAGCTCGTGAGGAACAGGCTATTTCTGGCCTGTTCCGAAACCCTGTATTCGTGCCTGAGTCTTAGGGGTGGTTGAAACAATGAGGGCCTGAAAAAGGCCCTCCGTTTCAGGCTGGAAAAACTCTGGGCCTGAAAGGCCCAGAAATAGGCTGAAACGGAGTAGGGCCTGCAGGCCCTCGTATTTCAGCTTTCAGGCTGAACGACGGGGGCCTGTAAGCCCTAAGTTTTAGGCTTTTAGGCTGAAAGTGCGGGACAGGCCCTGCAGGGCCCGTGTGGCTACGCAGTATGCCACAGTATTTCAACAGTTCGGACTTCTGCCAGCTGACTGCAGTTATGGCAGGGCTCAATGAATCTGGCTACAATCAGCTTCAGCAATTGCCAGGAGAAGTCCTGCTCTGAGTGTCCCATGAGCTTCAGCAAAACTACCATAAGGGGGAGAGCGTTGGGGGGGGGTAGCTTTATTGAAGGCCAGGGCAGACTCACACCATGACTTTTTCTGCCAATTTCTGCAGGTGATTGGTGTCAGGCACAGCACAGAAAACCAGCAACGGGGCACAATGCAGAAGAGGCAACAACTGTACACAGAGAGGCAAGTGTTTGTAGAGAGCACACACGCAGGAACTGAGTAGAAACAGAGCAACGAAACACCTAACCATGTGGACATAGCACAATAGCAAAAGACCAGTGTTACATACAAATGTATCGCAACAGTGGCATGATGAAAGCACCAAAATGCAAGAAGGACACATCTACTACAACGGCTACCACATACAGCATGTGAACACTACCACCTTAACGGGTCGATAAAAGGTTGACGATGCCCTCCACGTCTACGTGTACAACTTTGAAATGCAAAAGGCTAAATGACTCTTGTATTCCAAGCCAATCTTCCATACTATACTGGACAACACAAAACAACAGCATGCGGACCATATATTAGGTACAGAAACAGAACAGGTCTGCTCCGTTATGCTATCTCAAATCAATATCTCGGTCACTGTTTGACTGTACGTTCATTACAGGAGTTCCTAATTTCACAAAAAGAACCTCTCTCCCATGCTCACTCTCATGCTTGTACCTGATACACGCAGTGGGGGGAGGGGTGTGGGCAGGGGGGGGGGGAGCCCCTCCCCCCAAAAGGGCATCATGCTTTCTCTTGAAAAGTAGTCCACATATGAAAAACGGCCCGTGAGTCAGCACAACCATGAACTGCTGAACATGAGCGATCTGCCTATGGTGTGGCCTTTTTGGTTTACTGTTGATGTATGCAGACTGAAATCTATAGACTAGATACATTCTGCCTGATCGCGTCCGCATGTGTCATTGTATCTGATAATTTCGTTGATCCGTATATTGTTTCACGAAAGATCTGCAATGTTGCACTGTGGGCTCAAGCAGGTTGGGGCAATTAACCTCGCAAAACTCTACTCAAAACACAAAATGCAAGTAGCGAACGTTCAGATGACACCTTGAGAGCTGACACATGAAACAGCGCCAATGGAAATTTCACTCAAGATTATGATAGTATACAATTGAAGAGTTCAGGTAATCAGTGGTCTGCAACAGCATCAATCACGACTCAGGTATGCACCCAACTCCCCCTCTCACTCACTGTTTGACTCCCTCTCTCTCCCTCTCTCTCTTTCGCTGAATGTCCCTCACCGCTCAAGTCTATCGCTCATCCTCACCGCATGTGCTCACTCTCCCTCTGTCCTATGTCTACCCTGAATGTCACTGCGATGTACCACTTGAACCTGGGTGGCTATGGCCGCCGTCTTCCTCCTCCCTACCAGCCTGGTTATGGTTGACTATCGCCACCAGGGCGCTCGCTATCTCTCCCGGCACTTGCCCTTCATCCAGGTCGCACTATTGCACAAGCATTTAGCAGCGCTTTTGCAACTCTGCAGATGAACAACTGAACCGGCTTGGCACTGTACCAGCTACATATAGCTGCAGTTGACTGTTCATGCCTGCTTCGCAGCGGCACTGGTCGCCTGCGGGCCGCCAAAATTGTGGGTCCAGAAGTCTGCAGACTTTCTACAGTCATTATAGCTATGCTTGGAACAATTTACGTTATGTCATGCCATCTACACTATGTTCTTTCATGTGGTTTGCTATGCCCTTCGTCTATAGCTACCCTCTGGATGCCACCTTGCCACCACCCAAAACAAGTCCCACCCAAAACAAGTACAATCATTATAGCTATGCTTGGACCAATTTATGTTATGTCATGCCATCTACACAACGTTCTTTTATGGGGTTTGCTATGCTCTCTGTCATACTTATAGCTGAAACACGCAGGGGAGGGAGGGGTGTGGGGAGGGGCACACACACAAACGAGGGTCATGCGGTTTCTGAACCAATCTCTCTGAACCATTACCGCCCTGTTAAAGAAAAAGCACCTAAAAGGCTACCTAAGAACGCTATATGTATACATGTTATGATACTCATCAGAACCGTACCGTACCGGATGCATACATAATCAGGCACAGCAACCCGAACAACTGCTTCGACAACAAACACTGTTATACACTCGGAGCAAATCAAGGCAATGTCCCAAGATTTCAAATGCTCCCTGACATATAGCTAGCCCGCTTTTCACTGGTTCTTTTTTGTCTTTTTTTTTTTTTTTAATTCAAAGAGCCCCTCGAACCAGAAACATGGCTTCTGCTGTATATGGTTTGCTCTGGTACATTGTCCCAAGCCATTGGCTTGCTTCGAGTATGCTCCCGGCGTGTCCGCTTGGTCGAGAAGGCATGTGACCAACATCTGGTGTTTCCCATTCGGGTAAAATGTGGATGAAGCAGACGTCCTTTTCGTTAACGAACCAGACCCTGGTTGTCTCCATCTGAACGGTGGGACTGGTATATGTGCCAAATGTATGAGAGTTTTTTTCTCAGCGGCGGGCCTCGTCCATACGCAGTGGGGATGCAGTGGGAGTGATGGTGGTTACTGTTTGTACGGCGTTCCTTCGCGTGGCGACCTTCGATCACACCGCCACATATACCGCGCTGTGTGTGGTCGACAAATTGAGAAATATATGTCACAGCCCCTCGTTTGTTGTCCTCTTCTCCCTCTCTGCCTACGGTTTACCGGGCAGTTCTATTTGACGATATATGTTTGTGATGATATATATATATATATATATATAGAGAGAGAGAGAGAGAGAGAGAGAGAGANAGAGAGAGAGAGAGAGAGAGAGAGAGAGAGAGAGAGAGAGAGAGAGAGAGAGAGAGAGCAGTCCGCCATAGCACGTGTCGCCCATAGCCTCGAAGGTCGAAGGAAGAAGAAGACCGGTGGGACGAAGGAGTTCATGACATAGAGAGAGAAACACAGAGAGGGACTCATTTGGTAAAAAAGAAATCCATTTACTCTTTTGGTCCTCACCCGTGTGACTAAGCACAATTGCCCGAGGGCGAAGTGTCAGGGCCCCTACTTCGTCCTTTCTTGAACAAGTCCGCCCGTGTGACCACAGTCACACCAGGACCTAAGTCCCAAATAGGCCTGCGGAAATGCCTCAAAATTTTGAGACTTTTGGTCCTCTTGTGAGTACGCCCTCACACTGCGACCCAAAGTCTCAAAAACCCCACAAAAAAAGGGTTGAGAGAGGATCACATAGATTTGCCATAGTACATCAGTAAACTCACACTAGGCCCTCAAAATCGCAAAATAGCAAAATCAGCAGCCAGAATGAGTCCTTGTAACAGGAGGACTCGATCTGGCCGTTCATTTTGAGACTCTGTGATTTTGAGGGCCTAAAAGGAGGACTCGATCTGGCCGTTCATTTTGGGACTCTGTGATTTTGAGGGCCTAGTGTGAGTATACTGAGGGCCTAGTGTGAGTATACTCGATCTGGCCGTTCATTTTGGGACTCTGTGATTTTGAGGGCCTAGTGGGAGTATTTTGAGGGCCTAGTGTGAGTATGCTCTATGAGTATACTCACACTAGGCCCTCAAAATCACAGAGTCCCAAAATGAACGGCCAGATCGAGTCCTCCTTTTACAAGGGAATTTGCGGTCACCTCTGGCAAATGCCCTTTTTTTTTTTTTGCCGTTTTCTTCGAGAATTGGCAAAAATTCGCTCACAAAAGTTATCGGCAGATTTTACGCCCACACAGCACCTATTCCCCAAACCTGCTGACGGCCGCGGCCATGTCCCATCCAGAATCGTCCGGCAGTGTGACCCTGACAATGCCCAAATGCCCAAATCCCCAAATCAACCCTTCCCAAATTCGCAAAATTTAGGATTTTGGGGTGGCAGTGTGAATATGCCCTGACACGGTCGAAATATCGACCGAGGGGAAAAAAGGGGAAGAGAACCTGTTTACTCGTTCGTCTTCCTGGGTAGTGCCGCAATTTCGCCGCCATAGCCGCTGCCATAGCCGCAGCAGTATCGAGATCGACAGACGTGTATTGCTCTAGTCCTGCCACGTGGCGCCAGTTGGCGCATCGTTGGCTCGTGCTTGCTTCGTTTTTCTCATTGTGTGGTTTCTTGAACTGTTCGTGCGGCGTGGCGTGCGCGCGTTCATCTCTCTCTCTCTCTCTCTCTCTCTCTCTCTCTCTCTCTCTCGCGTCAAGTCTATCGGACCGAGCTTGCTGGCCATAGGTGCTGCTAACAGGCTCTTCTGCCTTTTTTTGTCTCTTGCAGCGAATGATTGCGTGATTTGTTGGTCGAATGGGTAATGGAAACCAATCGATTAACGAATAATCACCGGCCGTGTCTGTGTGCTTAGCTACTAACCGAACGAACAAGAGAGAGAGAGAGAGAGAGAGAGAGAGAGAGAGAGAGAGAGGGTTGAATGATTGGTTAATCAAAGCCAATCAATTAACGAATAAATCACCGTGTGTGTGTGTGTTTGTTTAGCTAGCAAGCGAGCAAACGAGAGAGAGAGAGAGAGAGAGAGAGAGAGAGAGAGAGAGAGAGAGAGAGCCGGTTGATTGATCGCGTGTGAGTCGTGATAGGATAGTTGGCATGGCTTGAGAGCCAATGGAAATTCGATAGCGTGTTTTTTTTTTCTATTTTTTTTCGTTTGAATTTCTCCTTTGTTGCCCCTTCGGAGGATGTATGGGCCGCCTCATCACTGAATCACGTGTTTGGAAATCTTTCCGCTTTTAGAAACCTTTCCGCTTTTAGAAACCTTTCCGCTTTTGGAAACCTTTTCGTTTCGTTGTCGGATAGCCCTCCCTCCGCAGCCTTCTCCGCTGAAGCAATTAGCGCCAAAATTTAAGTTTATCAGCGGCGCTCGTGAACGGCTGTATTTCCCGCCAAAATCTATCGGGGCCTTTCATCGACGGCTGGGTTTCCCGCCAATATTCGGTGAAGCGAAGCCAATCGACGATCGAAGATGAACGATCTTCTTCAGGTATTTTTTAGAAACGTCTTTTATTTTCTTTTCTTTTCTCTTTTTCATTTTCTTAAAAATCCTCAGGTATGTTCTGTGCAGCGGATTACGAAGCGGTGACGTGTTGTGTGCATGGTACTTGAATGACACGTGGGTTATGGATAAAAAGGCAAATCGCAGATGTGTACTGCAAGTGCTGCATTTTGAGATGGAAATTTTGAATTTTGTAAAACAAAAAAATGCTGCATGCCACGTGGCATAGCTGTCACGGTGTTAAGTGGCGTATGGATGAATGACGCGTGAGTTCATACCGAGCGAAGTGGATGACACGTGGCTGATGCCTGAAGCATGCAGTGCATCTCCTTTTTTTTCTTTTTTTTTATTCCCTGAGGTTATGTCGTTATTTTACGGCGTCCCCAGATAAATTAACGAAACCTCCTCAATTAAATGATAAATGTAATATGAAACCATTAATCAAAGTATATATGGATTTACGCTTATATCAAATTATATGTATATATATTCTATGTCTGTGTACTGTGTACATATATATATACATAATACATAGAGGTATACTCTGATATGTGCGTTAATCAGCTAATCATTGTAATCAATCAGTTAATAAGTCTTATCAATTACTGTAATTAATTTTAACCGTACATTCAATCAATCAACCAATATGGATATACATATATCTATATATTATTGACGATATATATATGTATATATCGTCAAACAGAACTGGCCGGCAAACCGTCGGCAGAGAGGGAGAAGAGGGCAGCAAACGAGTATATATAGCTGCCGGGTAAACCGTAGGGAGAGAGGGAGAGGGAGGAGAGGACAACAAACGAGGGGCTGTGACAAACTGTTTCGTGGGGATTTCACCAACCGACTCATCAGGAGGCTGAACCCTCCTATACAATATATACTGTAATACATGGCGGCGTGAAAAGGCGGAGAGTTCCGTTCAGTTTCGGCCCTAAAACCAAGTAGTTGGGTTCGCTTGGCGTGCGCGAAGTGCACCTTCTCTCTCTCCCTCCCTCCCTCCCTCCCTCCCTCCTCACATCCCTCCTTCCTCCCTCCTCCCATCTAGTTTAATGCTGCAACTCCATGTTTTGTGCGGGTGCCGTGTCGCAACGTGGACAGCTTTAGTGCACGGGCCGCTATTGGAATAGTATTAGGCTGGATGAGCAGAAGGAGGAGGAGAAGGAACACTAGGGGGAGGTGAAGTGCCTGGTCATGCAGGCAGGAGTAGGAGAAGATCGCCATCGAAATCTTGAGAGGCTGGATAAGTAGAAGAAGGACGAAGGCTGAGGGCGAGGATGCGGGATCAGGAGGATGAGAGGGCCGGGATTTGGTCGGTCAGGATGGAATACGACGACAGAGGAAGCAGAGGCAGAGCTATCGGGATATAGGGCGAAGCGTGCAAGGTAAGTTTGCCGGCGTTAACGAGGCTGTGGAGGAGGAAGACGTCGAGGAGGGTGGTACAGCAATGGGAGGAGGATGTACGTCGGGGACCTAATTTGCGAAAAAGGGGTGGGCAGCGTGGACTGAGGGGGGGGCGATCAGGAGGTGGGATCGAGAGAGGGTAGGAGAAGGTCGGCATGCATGGGGTGCTAATCAGGGTGAGGGGGTAGGAACCGATGAAGGGCAGGGGAAAGAAGGCCAAGGCAACAGGGTAAGGAATGCAGGTCGTGTAAGGGGGGAATGCGGACAAGGTGGGGTAGAAGAGGATCGCATACCGGAGGGGAGGGGAACAGGTAAGGAAAGGTGAGAGCAGGATAATGACGACGGGCGTGAATCATGAGAGGCATAGGGTAAATGCGGATATGCAGGTGATGGAGAGAGAGAGAGAGCAATGAAGAGAGAAAAAAGAGCGATAGACACAGGAAGAGAGGAAAGGACAGCCAAATCGGTATTGGGGAGCAGTATATCAAAGAGGATCCCAACGGAGGAAAGACAGGCGTGGAGGAAGACGGGAAAAGCGGCGCGAGAGACAGGCGTGGAGGAAGACGGGAAAAGCGGCGCGAGAGACACAGGCGGGACGGGGAATGGAAGGCGCAAGCTGAAGGATGGAATCGGACAGGCGGAAGGGAGGCAATGGAGAAGTAAGAAAGGGAAAAATGCGAGCGGGGAGGGACGCACACACACACACACACACACACACACACACACACAGAGAGAGAGAGAGAGAGAGAGAGAGAGAGAGAGAGAGAGAGAGAGAGAGAGAGAGNGAGAGAGAGAGAGAGAGAGAGAGAGAGAGAGAGAGAGAGAGAGAGAGAGAGAGAGAGAGAGAGAGAGAGAGAGAGAGAGAGAGAGAGGGCATTTGCCGATTGTTTAATGACAGGACGCAACCCCAGGAGCGAGGGGGAGAGGGATGGAGAGGGGAGAATAGCAAGAGATCGGGAAGAGTGAGGGAGAAAGCGATAGGGAGAGGGACAGGGCAGAGAGAGATCGCGGCGGGATAGTGCTCTTCGGGCCACTATCTTCTCTTCATGGAGTTGCGTCGCGCTCGTCTGGCCCCTACGTCTTCCGGCCGAGATCTAGTTAGTTCGCGGCGGGAGTCGCGTCCCCAGGTGCGCCGCTCTACTGACGCCTACCCTCCTACCGTCTTCCCCCGAATAGAACGCCCGGTCATTTTATTACAGCCCTATTTGGTGCAATTTTCACTCCAGACACAGCGGTAATGACCGGGCGTTCCACAGCGATAATGACTGGGCGTTCTATTCCGGTGAAGACGGTAGTCGCATTGGATTTAGCATATGAAGATGGAAAGCCTAGACTTAGTCTGACGCCCGCCCGCCTTCAGATCATTCGAAGAACTACTTTTTTTTTTTTTTTTTTTTTTTCTCTATTTGTACGATCCCGTCCCTGGAATCATGGTGCTCCCAGTGGGGACCGTTTTCGTTCTTCCCAAAATATTACAGTATTATTATTGTATGTTTGATAAAGAAAAAAGTTGTTTAATAGTATTTCGCGTCCCTGCTTGAGAAAATCTAGATCCGTTGACAAAAAAAAATAAAAAAAAAAATAAAATCTAAATCCGTTGAAGTACCTGAATTGACATCAGGAGTACCTGACGACCAGCAAAGGATTTTGCCAGAGCCGTTGGATCACTCTTCTTTCATGTGGCACGCCTATGGCCGCTGGTGTGACGCCGACACCAAATGCGCTTATCGGCTCTCAATCAAATGCAGAATTGATAATTTGATGATCGCATCTGAATGATACTCGCGATCTTCGTCAATTCCTATGCTCTGAGACGAGAGCCTCCTTCCCCTCAGAGCCTCCTTCCCCTCATCGAGATGGTGAATTGGTGGATTGATTGAACTCGGTGAGGTCTGCGTCTGAAGCAAATGGAGAAGGCCGCGGCTTAAAAAAAAAAAAGGAAGAAGGAAAAAAAAACTCGCTGAGAAACGAGCGGTCATCTGTTTCATCAGTTGACTTGTTCCGCTACTCTTTCTTCGCACTCACGACGGCCATCATAGAGTATCTTTAGAAGGCCGAAGGCGCAGGAGCGCTCTTTTGGATTAATCCATTGCTGCACACATCATCAGATTTCTATCAGATTTCATCATGGAAGTCTATTCCAGACAATAGACGACGTTCACAATGTCGCTTCAGCAGTATTCTTCCTTTCCTCTCTCTCTCTCTCTCTCACACACACACACACACACACACACAATGCCCAAAGAGAGTGAGGGGTGTTTCTCACTGGCCTTCGCTCTTGAGAGACGGAACTCGAAAAGGCGGGGGACAGTCAGTCTCGCCAGTCGGCCATTTTAACAGAATACGGCATATCAAGTGAAACCTTCAACCGAAACCCTGGCATCAAGAAAAGTAGGTTCATTGACGAGAACAAAGAGAGATTCAACCTCTTGCATCTCAAAGAATAAGATTATTAAACCCCCGGACGCGCAAAGGGGAGGGGGACGGAGGGGATGTGGGAGGGGGGAAGGG